TCATTTCCAACCTATGGGGTGATATTCATCAAAGAGGCATGTTGTTTTTTAATGCAGTGCTGGCTAAATGGACAGAAGGTCACAATCATTCAGTTGTAGTTTTCAGTCTTACCTCTTACACACAGACATTTCTCTGGATTGCCTGAATGTTTTGATATTATACATCATAGAGGATGAAACACCTAAAATCCTTGCAATCACTCATTGAGGAAGGTTGTTCTTAAATTGTTAGATTATTTACTGATGCATTGTTCGCTAGAGTGACAAGCCTCAACTCATCCTTGCTCATAAAGGACTAGGCCCTTACTAGATGTGCCTTTTTTTTTTTTTAATATTTCACAACATTACTAGTGTTAGATTGCACTTGTCCCAACTTTTTTGGAACATTTTAATTTCAGATTGAAAGGTAAATGGTGGCTGTTCAGGAATTAGTTTATAGTTACAAGAACAAGCAATCTTGCTAAGGTAAAACATTAAATATCTTGTTTTTGTACTGTGCATTTAAATACAGTTCAAAGTGGATCTACGGATCACTGCTTTCAGTTTTTATTTCAATTGCACATATTGTCCCAACTTTTTTGGAGTTGTGGCTTGTAGGTCATACATATGTACTGCAACAGTAAAATCAGATGGTTTAGTCTCTTGTCACATATCATTTCAGTTCTTGCAGATGGCAGAAAGACACTTAACACAGTCAGAAATAACATTCTGCTAAAGCTACTCTGTTACTAAAATTAGATGTCAAGTAAATGGCTAACGTGCTAGCTATACCACTGCAGCATTGACATTTACGTTTAGGAGATGGTTTTCAGCTGACTGTCATGATCTGATCTATTATCTTGGGTAACTAAGTCAGCAGATTTCTAAATGCCCTTCAAAGACTGATCAAACTCTTCATACTTATCTGACAAGTCAGGGGTTATTTTTTTCTGCCTTTGGCTATAGTTTGCATTTTAAAACCGGTTCTTAATGTGTTAGGAACAGGAGGAATTCTTGCTGTGTTTGGGGGACGTGTTTGTGACCGTATAATCTCAGGTTCTTACGTCTTAATATGCATTAGCTAGAGTTCCGTCTGGGACACAGAGAAACTGCTTACCTGTCTGTGGTGCACATGATGTAGTGGTGTGTTTGGCACGTTGCTGAGGAGCATGTGCTGGGTGTTTAGAAGCTGTAGTAAGTTGTGGAGAAAGGTGAGGTCTTTTCAGGATCTCTAGGAATGTCTTATTCTTCAGAGTAAGTGTGTTAAATCCCAGAGGCTTGGCCTGCTCTGACACTCCAAAGCCCACGCCGAGACCTCCCTCAGCCCACATGCAGCCTATGCCATGACTGCATGCTGCTCCTTATCACATTGCTTCCGTCCTATTTTATGGATAAGGAAAGAATAAAAAGTATACCTGTAATATGGGGGGGGGGCAATGCTTGCGTTTTCTTTGAATGAAATCTCAGTTGTGGTGTAAATGATTGATTGATTGACTATTGACCATCAAATAAGCAATTTTTTGGTCAATGCTACCAGAGTTGAATAAATGAATTGAAATTTTTTTAATAATCTGGCTCTGCCACATAGACCTACCGAAAAATAAAGGGCAGAGCTAAAAATATTGGTGTTCGGGGCTCAGTGTACCTTATCAAAAGCAAACATCTGCAAGTGATAAGATGGACAGCTATTTTGTTCTCTGAGTGTGTGTGCTGGATGGTGATGTTAAGGAACCACACATGGTGTGCAGAATTATAGAGAAAGACATTGTAGGCTTATGAGAGCTAAACTAGTCCTGGTCATGGCATTTTTGTTTTAACTTGGGCTAGAAATGAGTGATGAATATAACTTAAAAATATGTAACTTTCAGTAGTCCATCCTTATATATTCCAGTGATTTTCATCAGTGTTTTAGCTTTTGGTCATATAATCATGAACATGTAGTTGTCAGCTCCTCAGTTTAAACAGAACTGGGTGTGTTTATTATTGTTTCCAGCCATTTACTATGTATACATGTTTAAGCCTGGCTTAATACTACATTCCACAGTCCTTAAAAGCAACACTTTTTAATATGTCAGTGTATTAACGCAGAATTCAGTTGATGTGTGTATATCAAGTGTTTTATTATCAGTTTTATACATGATGTTTTGATGGGTCATCTCCCTGATTTTCTGCCTGCTGGTTAACTATTAATCGCTGGCTAATGATGGTCAGTGAAAAACATGTGCCAAAATGTATATACTTGAATCTCAGCAATTGAGCAATTGAAAATATTTGTTAGCAGTGTTTCCAGGTTTCCTTGGTAAGAACTGATGTGCTAGGCTACACATTTGTGCTGTATAGAGCGGTCATTACTGATCAAATTAGCAATTACGTTTTCTAATTGCTTTGGCAGTTTGAGTGCTCAGATTTTTAATAAAAAGCCAAATCGTTTGAAGAACTTAATCGAACAATAACAAATCATGCAGAGCCTTTCAAAGACTCCAGAATACTTAGGTAAACTAGGAAACCTTTAAAAAGGCTTAAACATAGAAGAACACTCTGGGGGGAAAAATGTATGCCATTGAGTGTCCATCAAGCTGTTTCATACTGTAAGAGAAAGCTGTAGGAGAACTTAAAATATGAAAAGGCGTATGAAACTAGCAGCTTAACAGTTGTAAGTGGAGCCAGTTGTGTCCGGTTAAAGCACTGAGCTGCTCAGCAGCAGGTGTTGCTCTTGGTCGCTCAAGGTTTGTGGGGGCTACTCCCTTGATCCCGCTATAGGATTAGAGGCGATACACTGAACAGGAAGAAGTGGTCACCTTTCAAATGTGATGTGGTGCTTGATTTCAGGGGTATTCTCTTGATCTTCAATACCAGAAACGTCTGTTCCCATCAAAGATTGTGGTCCATTTTTAAATTGACATTAAGGGAACTCTTTCTATGACCCCCCCCAACCTTTTCCTTAGAGTGAAGTTAGAGCCTTTTTATTCAGCTCTGTGAACATTGTCCAAACAAGTTCATCCTGTAAGCCACATGTGAATTCAGCATAAGATTCAAAAGATGGATTGTTGATTAATTCGACATAGTGTTGACAGTTAAATGTAATGATTATTGTAAACGTATACATACTCAGTTGGTCTTAACGAGAACCCTGTAGTTCACACATCGATGCATCCCTGCACTCATTGCTTTCCATTTCATTGAGTGTGAAATTAATGGAAACCCCCACTGCTAGTGTGCCAATTTAGCAGTGAGTTATAGTAGTAGGTGCTGTGGCCAAAAATTTATGTCACGTCAAATTTAAATCATCATATTTCTGGGACATTAACTGGTGGATCACCTGCTATACCACACAGGGTTCCGGTAATGTACAAGGTGCCCTTTTGGCTTACTTTGCCATTTAAGTGTTTGTGTTGCCCTGTGGTTCTTCAGCTTTCATCACAAGCACATGTTCTGTGGTGCCAAGATAAGGTAAAATTCCTAATGACGCTCAGTGCTCAGTTGACAATGGAAAGAGCTCACCGCTGTCAAGGATGTGAGGGGTCAGCTTTCTGTCATAACGGATTGTACTGAAAGGGTGCATGGTGTGCCAGAGAGAGTGGGCACTGCCAATAGGGTCAGGGGCAATCCCAGTGCCTCTGGGTGGAAACACAGGCCCTAAAATAGTTTCTGAAGTGAAGACGGGGTGGCAGGAGTGTAGTCATTGTTCCAATTATAGTGCCACACTACTGTGGCATTGCTCCATGATGTACTTGTTGTGTACCAGGGGCTTATTCAGTGATGTGCTGGAAGCATGTGTCAACATGTGAGTGGTGACACAAGAGTAAGTAGGACAAGTTTGAGTTTATGGGCAGCAAGAGTTTTGTTATGTACAGTGCAAAGGTCGTAGCGTTTAGGGATGCACAATCATCTCATAATCACATCCATATTTGCAGATATTTGCTGCATCTGTACCCCTCTACAAATAAGTGTGTTACAGATAAATCTGTAGTGCTAATCCAGCTAGATGAGTTCCAAATTCTACGTTTTATGATTGTTATTGTTTCTTGTCGTTACCCTGTAGTTCACACATCGATGCATCCCTGCACTCATTGGTCATTTTACTGACCATATAGGTGCTGTTTATAGTTTCGCTGTGACTGTTGCCCATCTGTTGCATAATGTGTCAGCTCACATCAGTGCATCAACAGAAAGGGACCACCATAGGACCACCACTGACCAGATATTACTTGAGTGCTTTATGAATGGCCAGTAAGTATATGTGCATGTTATGTCTACCAAATAAACTGACAACTTGGTGTAAATGTCACTGCGGTCAGTATAGGTCAGAGGGCATTTACCTGCATCTCTGTGACACCTGTCATGGTGCCCACCCCTTTCGCAACTTTTGGCCTTGTTGTTATTGTTGTTGTCGTCGTGGTTGTCGTTGTTGTCCTGATTGTTGCCATGTGGTAGGGGTGGTGTTGCATGTGGCTATCGCAGGCCGGGCCAGGAGGAACTCGTGGACCTGTGGTGCCTCAGCAGAGCTGGCCATCACTCACACAATGGGCCAGCAGCATTCTTCCCGCTCCAGACGGCCGCAGGCCTGATCGCTCTAAAAGCACCCACATTGTGCCCCACCGTCATTGTTTTGTCAGACAAAGCCTTTTATCAAAAGCATTGCTTGTCCACACAGGGGTCAACCCAGGCTAGCACATGACCCCTCTGCCTACCAGAAGCATCAGGGCAAGTGAAAGGAATGGCAGGGTAGGCTAGGGGTTACCTTAGGTCAGGGAGGGGTAGAGCAGGTCTGAGAAAGGTAGGATATGTTTGGGTGAAAAAGGTGAAATGAAGTCATTAGTTCTATTGGCCTGTGTAGAATGCATTACTTTAAGTTGTCAGGTAAACTGGGGTGAAGCTTGATGGTCACCTCACCTCCAAACAACATGATTCTGTATTAAAATAATGTGCAGAATATATCTAATGTAGCTTTCTACTCAGAATGTACTGGCGGTCTAACCATTGCTTTTATCTCTGTTTTTATCTTGTTCCATTTAATCTAGACTGAAGAGCTGCTTGGCTGCGTTTGAGTGAATTGGAGTCCCACCCAGCTACCGATGGCCCATCACACTCTCTGCAGAAACAACACCAGGGGACCTCCACTTTGATTTCACTTCATGTCCTCCCTTTGAATTTATCCTATTTAAAACAGGATCGGTGTCATATGAGTTTAATGCTTTTATTATTTTGCTCGTTTTGATTATTTTGATGTTGGGTTTCTTTTCCATTGCTGCATTAAAAGGGAGGTTTGCTCACTGAGATGCAGGGAGCCCAGTACTCTAAACAGCCTCACCTGGGCAGGTACGCCATCTACAAGCATTAATACTGACTAAGTCTCATGCATTTGCGACTTAGATTTCAGGTGCATTTCTTATGAATTTTAGTGATTTTGCTGGACAGAAACACTGCAAGATACAAGTATTAATTTTTTTCAGGGGTTCACCTGTGAAACATTATGCGTTTGCTTTTTTTTTTCTTGTGTTTGGAAGTTTTTGGTTTACAAGTGTTACGCTCACAGCTTGTGTGCTTTGTCAGCCAAGGAGTCCTCCACTTTACACTATCAGCGCTATCCCATAATCCCAGTGGGGGTCATGACGTGTTGGGGTTGCGTCAACCCTACGCTGGGCCCCAGGTGTGACGTGCTGCGCATTCTTCATATGTGACACAGTCCACATGTCCCCTCCCAATCCTTCACTCCTCTTTTCCTTGGTAGGGAACACCCTGCCTCTTCTCCTCTCTGCCAAATATGCTGGATGGACGGAGGGGGAGGAGTAGAGTGGAAGAAAAGAGGAAGCGTCTATTCTGGGACTAAACAAAATGCCAGATGAGGTCTGCTGCAGTCTCTGAACACTAACAGGGCCAGCATAGGGTCACGGATAGCTTTGCCATAATTGACACGAATGAAAACAGCTCTTCGAAAGGTTCCCTAAAAGAGGAACTGCAGCGAGAAGCTTTAAGGCCTAAACATGCACTAATTCTGCTATTACCTGAGAATAGGCAACATTCAAATGTTCAGTATTCAACTACACTCTTAAAAATGAAGGCGTCAGACGGTTCTTTGGAGTGATGTCATAGAAGAACACTTTTGGTTCTATAAAGAACCTTGAAGTGGATGGTTTTCTTAAAGAATCAAAAAGAAATGTTTAAGCTTTGAACAAAAAGTTTCCACATCAATTAAAGGTTGCCCAAAGAAGCCTTTATTTTTAAGAGTGTAGCCTGGACATTTTGAAGAGGAACTCCACCATTTTTAATTTCTGCATAATTCAATTATTGAGATGTAAACAAAGTCATTTAGAGTGGTGGTGATAGTAACTAGGGATCACAATGTCTACAACACAGAAAGTCATATTATTTGCTATTCAAAGTAACCAGTGAACCTGCAAGTGTTTTATGAATTTTTGTTTGTAAATATGATAACGCTAAGATACTGATAAATCAGAAAATGTGTTTACTTTGGGTTCTTTTATCTTTACAGTGGCCTACATGTATCTCTACCATAAATAGATAAAAAATGCATTTTAGGCCAAAAGCTTGTCTCAAAACGATCGTAAAACAATGTCACAGACTTTAGGCAGCGTACCTATAACCATTTTGTATAATAACTTCGGTAAAGAAGCTTTTAAACTCTTCAGACGTCTGGTTCCTATCACCACTGTGAACAATTTTGATTCTGATCAGACACTAATAGTTTCTACTCTGAATGACTTTGTTTACATCCTAATGGTTTAATAACACAGAAATTTTGAGAAACCGATGGAAGCTCCCCCAACATCAGAAGGCAAACCTGCCATAGGTACGCTGTTCTAATGAACCCGCCCTAAAGAGCATACGATATGGGGAAAAGGGTTCATCAAAAGCATGTCTGAACTGAGATAAAAATCTTTTTTTCCTTTATCAGCCAGCACAATTTTAGTTAGTGTTTTTATTTTAATTTTTCATTTCAGTATTGTACACATGGTGTGCCATGCTTTGAGTGGGTACTTCCAGTAGGAAGATGTGGAACAGGATTAAAGCTGAATTTTTGCCTTACTGTTTGTGATTTAATGTTGTCTGTGTTAACCTTTTTTATGAAAGCGTACTGGAGGAGGGAGAAAAGAAGAACACAAGACAGACGGTACATTATCTACAGACTTGTTTTGGCTTGCTAGTTGGTACATCAAATAAAAGCCCTTTCTTTATTTCAGTACATTTGATATAACTGAACCAAATGTGAAGCATTTGAATCGATGCTTGTAATGAAAATTTAAGAAGATATATATATGAAAAAGAATAGAGATATTTTCATGGTATGTTGTTGTACAAATGTTGGTACGGGATGTTAAAAAAATGTGAAAGAAACTCAAGTCCTTAATTGTTTCAGTCCCTTCTGGTTAAGGGCGCTCTTTCTCTGTAGCCCCCCTTCTTTTGTATCAGACCCATGTCTTACAGAGCACAGCCCAGAGCATCCAACTGTAATTCAAAGAAATCCACACGCTAACAGGCCTTATTTAAGACTGCGCTCAGTTCTCGGTCTTGGGCACAGTAATATGTGATATAGAGAGGCTGACCACAGCTCTACTTTGGCATATCATGCAAATGGTCCAGTATAACAGGAAAAAATGGGAAAATCAGCTGTTTGCTGTTGTGTTTGCTCAAGTACTTTAGCTTTAGTCACAATTTCTGTTGATTTACCACATTTAGAGCAATTACAGTTCAGATATCAACAGATTAAAATGATGAACTAAACACGATGCACACAGATGCACATTGATACGGCATTAATATGCAAGTTCAGTATAGTTTTCCTTCATTTTGTACGTAGTTTAAACAGCTGAGTTGATCTTTTTTCAGAATTGTATGGAATTGGTTTATTGATTATTGGATCATTTTCTGAATCATATTCATTTGCAAGAGTTTGGGGAAGTCGGGGCGTTCCCCAGGGTGAATAGGCATTTTTTCAGTTTTGTAATAGATGTTTTTGGTACAGTTGCATTTTATTTGCTGCTGTGTACAAAAAAAAGTAAAAAAAAATTGAATGGCAAACTTAATGATGATGATGATGACAAAGCTGTCATGGTATGTGTGTTTGGTTCATTTGAATGCTGTTATTGGCAGAGTTGAGTTCTTTTATGGAGGAGCTCACCTCCTGCGATCATTACACTCTGTCATAGTGTCCGAAAGGGAAAAACAAGAGAAGAAAACATTTTAACAACTGTTCATGGCTGCGTCCATTGTACATACTGTTGCTTTTTTTCCATGTTGATTTTTCTTTTTCCTCTGGGGGGAAAAGGAGAGCGATAACAGATACATTTTTTGAGCGTTGCATAGTGTTTATATTTATCATATTTTTGCTTTCAATAGAGCTATTGCAATAAAAATGTGGTAATGTAACTGTGGCTCCTTTGCAGTCTTCTTTTTGGCCTCCTGCTCTGTTAGTGTGTGTTTGAGTATGAGTGAGTGAAAGAGAAGCTGAACTAAAACAAGTCAGAAAATATGAGCCTCGGCTCACTCTGGACTTTGATGTTTGTTTTTTAAAGCACATTTAGAGCAGTAGTAGCACGCCAATGAGAACAGAACAGCAGCTTGTTTCCATTGCAGGTCAAATGAAGCAGTCTAATGTGTTGATTCACCGTTTCTTGTATTTTTTTTTTTACTTAGTTATGCTCATGGCTTGAAATATATTTGGTTATGTATTTTTCAGGTGGCTTTAAGGACATTAATGCCACTTTTCATTACAGATGACATGCCATTGATAATGAGACAGTAAGGAGTCTATTATTCCTGCTCATAACCTTTAAAAAATGTGGCCCTTTAATGGCCTTAAGCGATGTCCCACTTGGAGGCCTCCACACCACTCCAATGATTATTTTACGTGTACGGATGAAAATGTGATTAGGAAAAAGTTTAGTAAATGCTGAGCACTTATAACAATAAAACAATGACCTGTGGAAGAAATCGGATCTTTCAAGGGCCCAGATCCTACATTGTTCCCTGTGGTCCCCTTATGATGTTTATGTACGTTGATGTGCCAAAAGTAGTCATAGTTTAATTTCACATGTCCATTTCTGAACCTTTCTTTTTGTTGGTGTGCCTTTAAGATTGATATAATGACCTGTTTCCTGATTGCTGCCCTGTATTGTGACTGTCTGAGCTGAAGCTCTCCCTATATCTTCACATTTAGTGGGTGAGGCTAAACTGCCATAGGCTGACTTGGCAGATATATGTAAATCACAAAACAATGAATTCCAAACAGGCTGTTTTTGCAGCTTAGTTTCCATACTTGTTATGGATTGGAGAGTAAATGGTATGTTTTGAAACTTTAGCAATGTGTATAAAGTACAACATGCCTCACTAGCAAGTAAATACAAATAAACTACTCTCTCTCTCTCTCTCTCTCTCTCTCTCTCTCTCTCTCTATATATATATATATAAAATGCACACATATATATTACATATTCAATTATGCACATTTCATATATATATATATATATATATATATATATATATATATACATATATATATATATATATATATATATATATATATATATATATATATATATACACCATATAATATTACATGATTACATTGCCAGAATATATATATATTCTGAACCTTGTGGTTTGTAATAATATACTATACAAGAAAGAAACTTCTTATGCTGCTTATAGCAGGAAACTGCCCTGCCTTTAACTAAGGATGGCTTTGAGATTTACAACCAGTGTATGAGTGATGGAGGACAATTACACGACAGTTTATAACACCATGAAGTTTTTATCTCTGAGAAGTCAGGAGAAACATCAGGTGTGATTATCACTTTTCCATTGCAGTGCATCTCACAGCTTAAAGTCAGTTTGGCGCCACCTATTGGCGACCCTGCCTGACAACACCAAGAGGCCAAGGTCCATTTTTAGGATTAAATAACCTGCACAACAGAGTGAAGTCCATGATCAGACCAACCTATCCGCTGCATTTGCATTTCTTAGATCTGCTGCTCAGAGGCATTTCAGGTTGTTCAGTAACAAGACTGGTGAATTAACTCAGGAAGTCAGAAGCCATCCAGAGAAGGAAAACAATGATACTGTTGCTGTCAAAACTTTGTAATGGCACTCACAATACATGAAGCTGTCAGTGTTTTCGCCAAATCTAAAAAGTGATTTCACTAACCATGGACTTCTCAGAGTTAGTCTTTTGTCCTTTGAGATATCCATTCAAAAAGTAATTGAAAAGAACGTTCCCGTTTTTGTGTTTTTTTTTATCTTTCTGTAACACCACTGACTGAAAGAATTTTGGGACAAGATTTATTATCAAAATAAAATTATATGTTTAAAGTAATTCACCACAGGATCGACGATAATTTACAATGATTACAACAACAAGCTTCAAAATAGTTGTTTCAGATTAA